TGCTATTCTCACACCAATTCTTAACCCGCTCATTTATACCCTGAGAAATAAGGATGTCAAGGCTGCCATCATGAAAATTGCATATCTCAAAAACCAGGCAGGGACAGAAACATTTAACCTTTAAATGCAGCCAATTCTGCTCCCAGTACTCCTAATAATGATGCTTAGCTTGGAGTGGAAACTCAATAAATATTGTTGAATGAATAAATTAATCATATAAAATAGTAAAATAAAATTCAGCTGAGCAGACAGTTCCAAAAGTGATTTTCATACTTTGGTCCAGGGTTTTTCCCCTGGTGCAATGGAATGATGTGAATGTGCACAGGAATCAGGAGTTGTATAAAATTTTCGCTACTGAATAATTCAACAATAGTTTGCTGAAATAAAAAAAAAATCTGCACAGCAGGGGAAAAAACCCTTTATAAACAAAGTCAAAAAGTAAAAGACACAGCTCAGGAAAAGAACAACTACTTATAATACATGAAGAGCTCATCAAACTTTAGAAGAAAAAGTCTAATATTTCAATATAAAAATGGGCACAATGTGAGTAGACAGATGACCAACGCCTGGCCTTTACACGATGAAAAGGTATTTCATCTACTATCTAAAATGTATACAAAATAAAACTATTCCTAAATGCTGCATTTTACTTACTTAGAAAAGCAAAAACCTAAGATTTTGACAATATTCCTGGAAAAAGTAGAAGTCTCATAAGTCTCTTGTGAGAATGAAAAATTAGTACAGTGCTACTATAAGTAGCCATCAAAGGTACTTATCCTCTCCCTTTTTATTCAGTAATCTCACTCTAGGAATCTGTCCCAAAGATTGACTGGCAATCATTCTTTAGCTTACACATTCATCAATAAGGGCCTGGTTGAATAAAATATAAAAATGTATAATGCACTTACATTTTCCTTTTTAGGAAAGGAAATGAGTCAGGAAAGGAAACAAGTAAGCTCTACATGTTGACACGGTGTTATTCTTAAGATATATTGTTAAGTAAGTAGAGGGAGCAGTTGGGCACAGTGGTGCATGACTATAATCCCAGGGACTTGGGAGGTTGAGACAGGAGGATCGAAAGTTTGAGGCCAGCCAGGGTAGTGAGATCTTGTCTCAAAATAAAATAAAGTAAGAGCTGGGGATATAGCTCAGTGATAGATCACTCTTAGGTTGAATCTCTGTTAACACCACACCCACGCACACACACACACACACACAAAAAAAAAAAAAAAAAGCTACAAAACAGTGTTTTCATAAGAAAAAAAATTTAAAACTTGCTTAAATTTTCAGAAAAAAAGAGCTTTAAAAATATGATTCTATGTTATCCTCTCTTTTAGCTTATTATTGTTCTCTAGTGGTTGTCCTTGGGTTTATGATATACATTTTTAATTAATTACAACCTACTTTTTTGTGTAAAAGAAACTTGTACCAGTAGATCCTCCATCCTGTGTGCTGTCTCAAACCTTCTACTTTTATATATGTTCTAAACACACAGAACATTGCTACTTTTGCTTTTGACAGTCAGTCACCTTTTGAAGCAATTAAACAAAGAAATTAATTGCATTTTGCTTTAGTTTATTCCATTTGAACCACTCTTCATTTCTCTATTGTTCCAACAAACCACTTATAAAACAGCCAGGGGAATTCAAAGATGAACTAGAAATTTATGCTATCAACTTTATTGAGGCAGACTTTATATGCAACATAAAGGACATCTCTTTAAGTGAAGTTTCCAAAAATCTTGACAAATGCATACAATGGCATAACCTCCATCCCTGTTGAGATAAGAGAATATTCCATCACCCTGGAGGGTTCCCTGAATCCCTTCCTAGTCAGCCCTCCTACTCTGTCCCTTGGCAAACACTGATTTGTTTTTGGTAGTGGAGATCAGTTTTACATTCTCCAGGATTTCATATAAATGAAACGAACCTGGCTCCTGTTGTTCACCACAGGGTTTTTTACATTCACCTGTTTTATTGCTTGTGTGAGTGGTTTGTTCTTTTTTACAATTGACAAATGCTTTTCCTTTTGCCTTATTGTTTCACATTTTCCTTTTAAAACTTTAAAATTTCTTTCTCTTATTGTTTTTTCTTATTGCACCAACTAAATTTTCCAGTACAATGTTGTGAAAGTGGTGAAAGCTGATATTCTTGCATTCTTATTCTTTATAGTAATCTTTCACTGTGGTGCTAAACATTTTTTTAAATTTTTAATTTGTTATATATGACAACAGAATGCATTACAATTCATATTACACATATAGGGCACAATTTTTCATGTCTTTGGTTGTACACAAAGTAGAGTCATACACGTACTTAAGACCTTCATGTCTTCATACATGTACTTAGGGTAATGACGACCATTGCATTCCACCATCTTTCCTACCCCCATGCCCCCACCCTTATTCTCCCTCCCCTTTTCCCCTTTGCCCTATCTAGAGTTTATTTAATCCTCCCATCACCACCACCATCCCCGCAGCATATTATGGATCAGCATCCTTAAATCAGAGAAATCATTCAGCATTTGGTTTTTTGGGGATTGGCTAATTTCACTTAGCATTATCTTCTTCAGCTCCATCCATTTACCTGCAAATGCCATGGTTTTATTCTCTTTTAATGCTGAATAATATTCCATTGTGTATATATACACCACATTTTCTTTATCCATTCATCTACTGAAGGTTGGTTCCACAGTTTTGTAGAACAATTGGAAACCAAATATAAACAAACCACTTATAGGGGCTGAGGTTGTGGCTCAGCGGTAGAGTACTCGTCTAGCACGTGCGAGGCACTGGGTTCAATCCTCAGCAACACATAAAAATAAATAAATAAAAATAAAGGTATTAAAAATTTTAAATACAACTTATAATAGCAACCAAAATAGGAAATACTTAGGGATAAAGTTAGCAAAATAAAGTTAGCAATACACTTTACTAAAACTGCAAAACACAGCTAAAAGGAAGTGAAGAAACAGGTATAACCTTACTATAAAACTACAGTAATCAATACAGTATATACTGTAGGCATAGGAAGAGAAATATATATTTATAGGACAGAAGTTTATAAATTGGCCAATATTCACTGAAGAAGGAAATTCTTAACAAATGGTGTTATAACAACTGATAGCTGCTATCATTCCCTTAATTGCCAACTCTGCAAATGCTGTGAAAAATAACCTATATGGGCATGGGACAACAGGCACCTTTTCCTCCCAAAACTCCTTTGCACTTTGTCACCGCCCCCTACCTTTGCATACACAAACATAGCTCCAGAGATGGTCTCCTAAGGAGAAAGATTACAAATTTGTCCAGTGAGGGAGTTGGGAGCGAGTAGGATGTTTTAGATGATCTAAAGAGTCAAGTGTCCTCAACTCTTCTTGCATATCCACATCCCGATTGTCAGATTTGCAATCAAGGACTTAACATTGACCGCAGAACACATCTTTGGGAAATGGACTCAGGCTGCTGTTTGACAGCACACGTGACCAGGTTCTGGATGGGGTATCCTTCCTGCTCCAGCGTTCCATGGCCAGTCCAGGTTCTTATTTGCTTCCAGTTGGCCAACCTAATATTGGGAGATTTTCAACCACACTCTGTGAGAAATAGTCAACCCTCACCTGTATGAGTACACTCTTTATTCTCTTAAAATTATCCTAAGGCCACAAAAACTCTCAAAGTCTTGCCCTTCCTTTTTAGGAATGTGACTCTGGAGACTACAGGTATTAGCCATATACGTCACTTCACGACGCATCCTCAGAGCTCGCTGGTATTCCATCCTCAGAGGTCCGCAGACTCCGTCCCTGGCCACTCTATAACCCAGCCTCCACCCGTAACGTCTTTACTTTACCTCCTTTTTTCTCCACAGTTTTTTAAAAATCAATTTTATTGAGGTAAACTATTTAAACAATAAAAGGCATCACTTTAAGTGCACGATTTGATAAGTTTTCACTAAGGTGTACACCCACAGAGCCACCACCACAAGCAAGCAGTACTCTATTTCCAGCAACCCCACCAGTTCACTATGCCCATTCCCAGGCTCTCTTCCCAACTCTGGCTCCAGGCAACCCCTGAGCTGATTTTCATCTCTATAGATTAGACTTGTCTTTTTTTTTTGGTTTCTTGTAAATCGAATTCTACAGTATATAGTATTTTGAATCTGACTTGTGCTCAGCATATTTTAAGACTTCACCCATGTTGTTACATATATCAATAATTCATTCCTTCTTATTGCTAGAATTATTTCATTGCATGGATATACATGTTCATTTACCCATTGATGATCATTTGGGTTTAGGGTATTATAAATAAAGCTTCCAAGAACATTTTGTGTGTGTGTTTGTGTGTGTGTGTGTGTGTGTGTGTGTGTGTGTGTGTATGTGTGTGTATGGAAATACACTTTCATTTATGTTGGGAAATACTTAGGAGTGGAATTGCTAGTTCATGTGATAACTATTTAAGTTAAAAGTAATTCTGAAACTTCTTTCCAGTGTGTTCCATTTGATAGTTGTCCCATGTCCTTCCCATCAGTTGGTATTATCAGTATAAAAATTTTAGCCATTCTAATAAATGAGTAGTTGTAGTTCAACTGTGGTTTTATTTTGCACTTTTATGATGACTAATGATGTTGGGCATGTTTTCATGTGCACGTTAGTCATTCATATCTTGTTTTTATAGTATATGTTCAAATATTTTGCTTATTTAAAAGTGAATTATTTATTTTTAACTAATGAGTTGGAGTTCTTTATTTTATGAGTCTTCTGTTAGGTTTATACTATTTTTCCCCGGTTTTTAATTTCTCTTTTCATTTTCTTAATGATATCATTCGAAGGGTAGAAGTTTTTAATTTTGATAACATCTAGTTCACCAATTTTTCCTTTATGTTTTATGTTTCTCATACCCTATTTAAGACATGTTTGCCTACCTCAAGTTTTCAAAGATTTTCCTCCCATGTTTTCTTCTAGATGTTTTGTAGCTTTGGGTTTCAACATTTAATCCATTCTGAGTTGATTTTTTAATATGGTGTGAGGTAAAGATCAAGTTTCACATCTTCCAGGTAGATATTCTGAAAATCATGTTGCTTATGTCCTCCCAACTTATTATTTTGTTGTGTTTTTTTTTTTACTTTT